AGTAGCGGCTTTGTTCAACCAGCGCGTACGGGTGGAGTAGGAAATTATCATAGACAAAAGTCGTGTCGCACTCTTGTCATCAGTGGTCATTCATGAAGGAATCTTGGCAGAGCTTCAACCCTTTTACGAAGGAGCGAGAACCTCTATGAACTGTGCATCTGAAACAGCAGGGTGTAGCGACCACATAGCAGGTTACCCCGTGTGGATTAGCTCCCACGAGAAGCGCAGGCTCTCCATATCCGACACCGATGGCCTCCCTGAACAAGGGTTTTCTACCGGCTGTAGTCTCCTGAGCAAAGAAGAGCCATCCATTCTGGTCTGGCTTCAATCGGTTTGTGGCTCAGTAGAGCTGCTTGAGTCAGAGCGCGGAAAAACATGGCTCTTTTCTTTCCTCACTTCGAACTTGAAGAAGGTGACTAGGGTGTGCATGAATTTGTTATAAGTGCCCTATCCACGCTGAAAGAGCTCGAAATCGCCTTCGACCGCTTTTGAGCCTACGATAATTTGAACTCCCATCACAGGGAGTCATTTGTATGGGTCTGATTTGACAATATGATGATAAAATGGTTTCTATTTCAAATAAAAGTTGTGTTTCGACAGCGTTCTGATGCTTCAAATTTAGTCGCCCAAAACGGCGGATCTTTTTCGAACAACCTGAGAGAATTAAAAGATCGGCACTATTCAACTATTACAACCCCAAAATCTCAAAATTTTAATTTTCGTCGAAACTTCGCCTATAGGGGTTATTCGATGCCCTGATTACGAAAATGACATTCATTTTTGGCGTTGGCGCCATTTGGCGCGCCAGGGCTATTTTCACCAAATTCGCTGTAAACTTGTATACAGGGGTTATTTGGGGTCCTGATTACGAATATGACATTCGTTTTTAGCATTTGCACTATTCAACGCACATTTTCCGTTTTCCTGGGCCCTCTCACTTGTACATATTACCTCAGGACTAAGCTTAGGAGGAGGGAGGACTCCGGGTGGGTGAACCAGGCAACGTGTGGCAAAAGTTGAAGCGTATAAGATCACAGGATAAGTGTTATTCACTCACTTCGGAGCACTCTCTCCCCAAAGGCTTAGTCCTGATCGCGAGCTAATCAGTGAGAGGGCGCAGACGAGCGGAAAATAGGCGCCAAATGGCGCAGGCGCCAAAATGAATGTTATATTCGTAATCAGGACCCCAAATAACCCCTGTATACAAGTTTACAGCGAATTTGGTGAAAACAGCCCTGGCGCCAAATGGCGCCAATTGGCGCCAGATGGCGCCAGCGCAAAAATGAATGTCATTTTCGTAATCAGGGCATCGAATTACCCCTATAGGCGAAGTTTCGACGAAAAATAAAATTTTGAGATTTTGGGGTTGTAATAGTTGAATAGTGCCAAAAGATCCCATCCTTCTTTGAAGGCATGCCAGCATCAAATTGGTTCAGATCTTGCAAACGGAAGCGAAGGCATAAGTGCGAGGTGGGCCGGAAGAAAAGAAGAAAAGAAAATTATCGAAAATGCTAAGGTTAAGCGGCTGCGCTAAGGCAGTGAGAGAATTACGTGAGAGGAGAGTATGTATGAGGCGAAAGAGCGCAACAAGTGAAAGGGCATCTGACAACTGCCTGAAGAAAAAAATTGCAGCCTGAAGCCGCAACTGTGATCGTCCTTTAGGGGTCTAACCTACAGTCCAAAGGAACCTTCACACGACTTGTGCATTGGTTGCGACTTTAACACATTGACGACAACGCGGGGGATATATATCCCGCGCATTGCAGGCCATGTCGGACCGTGCGGGATATATATCCCCCGCACCCATTACACTCATTTTTTTCGCGCACGCCTGATTCTTTTAGAAGTTTCTTGTATTCATTCCATGGAAGAGACCTTGACTTAGCTACAAACATAGTGGCCCTTAGAATGGTCACGTATACTTTAATTTAGAAGAGGATTTCTGAACTATACGAAATCTTCATTTCAATAAATTTTTCTTTAACTTTTCCGTTTTATTAATGTGTAGATTTAAGTAGTATTAGAAGTAGAAAAGGAACCTTAGGGATGACAATATGTGTGTTTTGACTTAAATAATCAACGTAAAATTGCTTTCGAGGTCTATTTGCAGCTAGTTCTGACCAATTTCGCTTTTTCATTGTTACTCCATTTCTTTCGATCGAAATTCCAGTACTGTCCAACTTGGTTAAGTTGAGCTCATTACAGTTTACTGACAAGATTCGATTTTTTACACATTGACGACCGCGCGCGTTTTGGCTTTTTTGGCCGTGTGGGACCGGGCCGATTTTGCGAGTGCGACCGCCGCACCTCGGATCCGTGAATTTTTATTGATAACTTTTTAAAGCACCAGTGGTACAAAAACATCTCAGTAACAGTCAATGCGTAGAAGGTAATAGAGTATATAGTGACGAAGTTCCGATTAAAGAACATGTAATGGTAATGAAAAAGGAAACTTTAGTCATTTTATCTGTAGTGGATGCCAAAAGCTCTTTTGATGTGGTTATACCAAGTGAAACATGTATTTTTCTGTCTCTTTAGATTTGCATTTACTTTCACTACCCTTTTTTATTGACGTGTTCATGAGAATAGCATGAAAACTATTAATGAACCAAGCCGCCGGTTTCGGTGAGCTTGGAAAACTTCTTCTAAACTGGAGCATATTTGAACAAACAATGACCTATGTCGTTCACAATAATGTTATGTTCTAATCCATAGAAGAGAGACAAACAATTCGGGAAAAAGCTGCGCATGCCCTAGAAAAAGGGATGATAAGGGTGAGACGCGGTAACGCGTCTCAATGTCCAACGAGGTGCGCAAAGTGAGACGCGTTACCGCGTCTCAATGTCGTCAATGTGTTAATTGTGGGTTTATCACTCAAAATCTGCTTGAACGACCGAAGCGAGCGCGCCTGCAAAATCGCCGCGGTCCCACGTGTCCAAAAAAACCAAAACTCGCGTTGTCGTCAATGTGTTAACGGGAAAATCGAAAACGTTCAATCAAACTGTTCCTTCTGCTAGCAAGGTCCAATGGCCCCCACTAATAAATACCACTTGCTCCACCTCTACCCAGTTTTCAAGCAATTTTTAGCTTAGCAACATTTTAGTAGCATGCATTCCTTCGATCAAAAGTCTATGAATTTCTGTTAAGAAGGAGGGAATCAAATAGCCTCGCATGGATGCAATACAGCAAGGCATCGTGAATAACATGGTGTATTTCCTAGTTGGAAAACCAGAGAAAAATGGGAGAAATTGCTAGCGTGGTTCAAAGCTTATAGGCAGCATGAATAGATGAAAGCTCTCCTGCCAATGTGGTACCTAAGGTCTATGGCATTGTAACGTGACTTTCAACATATTTATACCCATAACCGAAAGAAAACAAGAAAACAACATCAACATAGGTGAAATTTATTCGGAATGTTCCACGTTCTTTCCATATAATTTGTTGCACTGTTTCGTGACGTTGTCGTCAAGTCTGTAGGTCACTCCCGGGAACGTCCTTGTCGCTGTTATCGTTGTACGCTTCCGTGGCTTTTTCGGAATTTCGTTTATTGACTCGAAGCTGTAATCTTGACATTATAAGCCGACCTAACTTGTTTGCATATCCTTCCCACATTTTATGAAATGAAATCTCAAATAACAGTAAATAAAATAAATCTATAACGCAAAATGCAGGGAATAGTGAAATAATACATGAGTACTCAATGAAAATCGTTTCGCGCTCATCAGGTCCTTTTTTGAATTCGCCACGCACTCGGGTTTCATTTGAAACCCTGTGACTTTCGAATGCATTGAGAGGTCGATCTACTTACCTTGAGGCGCTGCCTGGCCTTTCACATCTTTGTAAGCTGGAATTTACCCTTTGTTGCGCTTGATTGTTTTCCGCCTTGCACGACAATGAGGAACATACGTGGAATGCAAAGCAATGACAAATCTTTTCCACCATCTACTCAGGTGAAGCACAAAGCAGAAAAACTAACTGAACTATGCTTTTAGGACACCAAGTCTTCAAAAAAGCATTGAAAATCAAACCAATGCTTACTTCTATTTGAATCAATCTACTCACAATATGTCAACGCAGCTCCCTTTGAGGTTTAGTTTGGGAGAATTTGGAGCGAAACTGTTCCATTCTATAGATGTCAAAGGAGAAGGAGAATCAAAATCGTTTACTTTTTTGTAAAAAACTACCAGCTCTAAAGCGGGGGGGGGGGGGGGGGGGGTGGGGGGGGGGGGGGGGAGGGGGGGGGGCGGGGGGGGGAACTTCTGTCTCTTATATTTGTTCTAAGGCCCAAGAAGCATGATTTTAGTCTGCCCACCTCTCGTTCGAGAATGCCCTGCACTATTAACATCAAAGAACAAAGTCATTACACTGGTACAGAAGTTTGTGAACAGGACACAACATCCAAACACCTCTTGCGCGGACAGGGTCAAGCGAGGCGTCGAGGAAAATTTGGAAATACGACCCCCCCCCCCTCCCTCCGCCAGAGGCCGAAGTCCATGAAACGACCCTCTTCAAAAGCCGAACTATGGAAAGGTTGTCTAATTCTCCCCCAAAACTGTTCATAAAAAAGCCCCTGCTATCACACCGTCAACCGAAAATTCTTTTAAAAAGTACAAAAGTGAAAAGTCAAAAAATTAATCATTATTGATGAGTCCTACCAAACGAGCAAACGAAAAAAGCAGCAGAAAACCTCAAACTACTCACTAAAAATGGCATACTATGACAACATCTCTTCTTTATTTATTTCCTCCACAAGACTTACCAAATTCTAGTACTACACAGATTGTGGTTCTCAATTTGCACGTAGCCCTTCAGTTGAAAGAAGCTTTTTAACCGCCTTCGCCAGCTGTGTGTTGACTGGACTTTGGCGTTGACCGTGGAGCAGCTTATTTACTATTGAAATTTGAACAAATATTCAAATGATTATAACTTTCTTCAAATATGACGAATTTTCAATCTGAAAGCAGATTTGGGAGTTTTGTGAAGAGCTTTTCTAATCAGTATTGAAATTACAAAAATTTATAATACACTTTCCGAGGCCGTAACTTGCTCCCTTTTCATCACTCCCGGAAAGTTAATATGTCAGACAAAACTAGAAGATTTTCTCTATCAAATGGTTGCTAAAGCAGCTTTATATGTCCACTATTTAAAAAATGGCCACGTTGAGGATTTTTGCAAAATTAACGAGGAAAATTTGCGATGAGTGCGAGTTTTTACGCTTTCCAAGGCCATAACTACGTTCAAACCCATCCAATCTGAAAAGTAAATACGTCAGCATAAACTAGAAGAATTGCACTATTCAACGGTTACTAGGACTGCTAAAAACGTCCACAATTTAAAAAATGCGCAACGTTGAGGGATTTTGCCGGTCGCGAAGCACTTTGTTCGCTGCATTAGCACTACTCCAACGACTATAGCTTCCTTTCAGGGGCAATTATACACTAAAGTAGGAGCAGATTCGAAATCCTCTTTCTTTTCTCTTTCCAAAAAGTGTAAAATTGTTTAGCGTGTCTTAACTTTAACGATTACATGCTTGTGAATTTGACGCTGAAGGCTGCATTTCTTGCTCAATAGTGTACTCCTCCATGTAATCTCACACAGACCCTTTCAGGATCCTCTTAATTTTTCTCTGAATTGAGATTTTCTCTCAAGAGCCGTAGTTGAAGCGCGCGCAACTAACTGGGCCCACTCTGGGATGCGCCGTGTGCTTCACATCCCTTGAGATTCGAGGACTCACCTGAAAGATAAAATATCCGTTGGAAAACGTGCGAATTTTGGATTTTTTGACTTGTTAGTGATAGTTTAAAGATAAAACTCTGAGGTAGTGAAAAATCACTACGCGCACACCTCTGAATCACGAAAATTTTATGTGGGCGGAACAGCATTGGTACTGGAAGTCCTCTGGCCTTCCATGGCATCGACTCGATCCCTGATGTTTGTCCTCCGACAGTGGTGCATCAATCCGGCCCGATCCCTTCCTCCCAGCGGGCCAATACGACCCCCCCCCCCTGCGACGTGTCGAGGATTCCTCAACGCACACTTGACCCTGGTGTGATCCAACGTTGAGAGTTTAAGATATCTATTACGAATGGAGGCTCTAGGAATACCAGAATAGAAAAAGCATCTGCACCGGAAAAGAATTTTACGCGTGAAGTTATTTTGCACCTTTTTTTCAAGTGCAAAGACGTCCTTCCTCCTGTTGGGATGGAACACTGTAGCACCACTCTCAACCAAAGGGCGAACATATGTCTTATAAGCTTTGAGAAGGATGGACTTATTCGTAGTAGACAGCCCCTTAAAAATGTGCGACGTCCTCAGTAACGCTAGCTTACACCGAGAGCGAATATGCATGGAAAAAGTCAAGAGTGTTGGTATGGAGAAAGCCTAGATCCTTTACACAATTTACGGGGGAGAGAGTAACCCCATCCACATGGTCCGCCTATTGATTTTAGCGCAGGATAAGTTTTAACTGATAGCTGAAATCGTCAATGTAAACACCCTACTTTGTCACTTTACTGCGAAGGGTAGAATTTCGAGGGACAACAGTCAACGGCCGGTGTATCAAACTAAACGCGACGGTGCGTGAAATGGGTGAGGCCCTACTAATGCTAAGCAAGGGAAAAAT